TGCGACTTCGCGCGGCGCAAGAGGTCGCCGCGCGACGTCGCAGGTGACCGTTGCAACATCTACGAGGAAACTACCACGCTAGCGCTCATGCCTGTTTTCAAGCAGTGAATTTTTCAGTTAGGTCTTTTTGAAGCTGCGTTCAGCTGTTTGGCCCTGCCATTTCGATTCCTTATTTTCACCATCCGAAACTGATATAAAACGTACTATTTTATTCAGGGGTATGAACATGCAACAGGTACTGTACATTACATTAACACGTGTAGGAAAACAAAACTGGTGCAGATGTAAAAAAAATCGATGTCGATTAGTTGATTCATTCGAATTCCTCCTTCTCGAAGATGTACTCGCCCAAACCTGCTCCGACTCGCTTCAATTTCGTTACCAACTTACCCATCTCGTTGATATAGATCGGTCTGAAATTCAGATTACTGCGTGGGAGCCAGGCGCTCTCCAGAATAGGGTAGGTTTTTCTCACTAACCTGCTCCTCAAGCATCTCCGACTCAAGGAAATCAGTGAACTGCGGATCGTTGCATGACGTTGCTACAGCGTGCAGGTCGAGTAAGCGCCTGGTTGTTGAACTTCTCGAGAGCTAATGCGGCCTACAATGACGGCGTTTATGGAAGTGCTGATTCATTGGATGATAATTCGTAGATGTTTCTTGCCTGGAAGGCTTCCAACGGGGTTCCCCACTCGTCCTTCTCGGGCTTGTTCACAGCCTGCAGGACAACTCGTCCACCGCGAAGATTTTGCATCTTCATGATCTTGAAAGCATGCTCACGTTCCTCGTCGGATTGTTTTCGGAAAAACCTGGAAAAATTAGTGCTACGAAAAGCTGGCAACATTCAATGGCCTAGGAATGGTTGGTAAAAATGGGTGGACTAGCCCTGAACTTCACTGGTTAGATAGAGTCCCACAGTACTGGACAAGGCAGTCCCAGATTTCTGGGTGGACGAGGTCGGAAAACCATGTCATTAAGCGTATCCACTCCTTTGTCAAACGTGAGAGGGAGAGGAAGGAAAAGGAGCGCGCCAATAACGTCGTTTCCTGGCCCCTCACTTTAATCCCGAAAGGTGCCCTAAGGCCACACTGCGCTATGCTCGGATGAATGGCGACTCACATTGATTGCGTTTTCCTCAATGATGCCCCCCCCCCTTCACGGCACCACAGGGAGGGTGCACTAGTGAAGGGAACAGAGCTTACGTCGAGGTATTGGTCTCCGCCCATCCGCTTATCGTGGAATCTGCTCTAGCCGCTATGCAATAAGCCTACCTTTTTCGTTCCCCTCATGATTAACTAATCGTACATATATTCACTGATCATATTTGGCTCTTTCACACAAATTTCTTCCGAAATCTTCAACCCAAACTGTCATAGCTCTTTCCCTCCCGACTGAATAATCAGTAACGGGCTCCCGTATGTGGCGAGGATGCTTTCTGGCAGAAGGAAGCGAATGAGGGCGAAAACCAGCCTTTTCCCTTGTTATCGGCCGTTTGTCGAAGATAACGCAAGTCCAAGGACTGCTCACCTTTCGCTCAGCTATCGATTTTTCTGGAAGCCCTTCCAGATTTTTCGTGGTAGAGATGCAGAGGACGGAGGTTCTTGGCACTCGGAACTCTCACACACGGCCTATGTTGTGATCACATTGTCCTCAAGGTGTCATGACCCGCTCTCCAAGTTCAACAACCTACCCGAATCACTATATAATTGGATTTCGTTACGTGAGCATCGAAAGCGTCAGGTTGAGAAAAAAAACACTGATTTTCATTAGGCACTTAGAGGGCCCTTAATTGCGAAAGTTCAACACCTCGGTAATCCGGACGAGTTATCCGGGACGCGTACTGTAATCTGACGCAGCTCTACACGTCAGGCAGCGCGACGTGGCGCGATGGTGGTGTCACTACCTCCGCTCCCCCTCCAAAAAATCCTCCTCTAAAACGGCCCTTCCCCATCCTGACAAATAAAGATCTCCTACTTCTTCTCCGAGATCCAGAAGGTTTTCCATGGGTTTATTCGGCATACAAACGGGGAAAAATCGGGGAAAGTCAGCAACCGGAAAATTCTCATCGCAGCTAAGAAAAAAATCCTATTAAGGCCGAATACGAAAGCCATCGACCGAATGTGACACCCTCCTTCCCAGCGACCAGGTACGATGCCCTTGATGAGATTCTCCCAGCTGCTGTATCCTGCATGGGACTGCCCTTCACTCTCACCCCCTCCTCG